GCAGGTGCGTCCTTGCGGTTCTCCATGGTGAGTTCCTCGAGGATGAGGTCGTCACGAGCCTCCAGGAAGGTGGGGAACGGTCGAGCGCGACGAAAGAGCGTCCCAACGTGGCTGAAGCGCTCGTTGAGGCCGCGGATCACGTTGAGGACGAGCGTGCGGTCGGTGACGACCTCGCCAAGGGCCATGAGATCATCGGCCATCTTTTTCAGCTTGCGGCAGTAGCTGGTGACGGAGAGGTCGCCCTGGACGAAGTTGCGAAACCGCGTCTCGAGGTGGATGGAGTGAGCCTCGTGGTTGCCAAGAAACTGTGACTCGACGGCGAGCCAGGCATGCCGAGCGGTGGAGCCCTGGGCGGAGATGATCTCGCCAAGGTTGTCGGTGAGCGTGGCGACGATCCAGGACTTGACGACGTAGTCCATCCGGGCCCAATCAGGAGGAATTGGGGTTGGAGGTTCCTCTCGAACGTGATCCTGGAGGGAGAACTTGCCGAGGATGAGAAGAAACTGATCACGCCAGCGATTGAAGTTACCGGAATCAACGTCGAGGATGGTGGTGACGTGGTTCCGGATGTTGCTGACCGCAACAGCCTGAGCATGGAGCTGCAGAAGGGCAACGGCCTCGTGATGCAGCATGGCAGCCCGAAGATCGGGTGGCGGCGCTGAAGTGCCTCCAGGTGCGGCGCCAGAGGGTTCCGGAGCAACGGCGGCAGCAGCGGCCGCCCGCTCCTTGGCAGCGCGCGCCAGTGCCTCGCTAGCGCGCTGGGCGGCGGTGTCGCGATCCTTAGTCGCGGCTGTGGCCTCCTCCTCGGCCTGTAGGGCGCGTGCTAGGGCAGCATCACGCGCAGCCTGACGCTCGCGCTCGAGACGCTGAGCAGCGGCGGCAGCCTCGTTGGCCTTCTCCGCGGCGAGGCGTTGGGCGACGGCGTCTGCCTGGATGGTGGCAGAGGAGGCGTCCAGATCTTCCCCAGCCCTGGGGGTTGCTGGAGGGGTGGAGGGCATGGTGGCGCAGCACGGTGGGTACCGGCGCGCGGAGGGGCGCAGCGCGGCGAGGGGCCGGCGCGCGTGGAGTGGGCAGCGGAAGAGGAGACCTAAACCTAGGCGGCTGATACCATGAGAGCGAATAGGTCTCGGGAATTGATTGATAGATTAACAGCAGTACATGGTACAATATATAGGCAAGGATCAATAGGGTTTATAGAAACACCCAATCAACGGTGATCCTTGCCTTATCAATGTAATCTATCTATCTTAACCCCTAAGGCAGCCAGCCTAACAGGCTAGGCGCCAGGCCCAAGGTCAGCCCATTAGGGCGCCTATTCTAACAACATTAAATGGGTAGGAAATGGGAGCCATTATGTGCTTTGGGTTGGTTTGTGTTCAGCTCATGCCCAGGTACAGGTCTGTCATATGGATGAGATTAGGGTGATATTGGAATGGCTTTGATGTCTCATTTCTTTTATGTGGTGCAGCATTGATTTCCTGATCCATTAAACTTGGTTCATGTTTTTTTAGTGAGCCCAGGGATTGGGAGTGCTTCTAAGTTTATGTTTACAGGGTATGTTGAGCATATGCCGCTCCAACTCCCCTTAGCTGAGTTTCCGGATATGACTCTATGCCTCACAGTCACAGACAAGAGTTTCCAATAGCAGCAATAAGCTAAATATTTTGACACCCTTAATTAGAGCATCTCCAAAAGCTCCTTAAAACAACTTCGTTAATTCATTTTTTTGGAAAAAAAAGGAAAAAGGGCCCTCCAACAGTTTTGTAAAACAACCCCCTAAAGATAAGCACTTGGTAAATCCCCCCCTCAACTTGCAGATATGCGAGTGCCTTCCGCGCTTGCTATTTGCCCGGGTGCCCCTCCCCCACAGTTGCCCCTCCTCCGCAGTTGCCCCTGCCCCCTCCTGCCCAGATTTCCCCCTCCCGCTCGGTTTTCAAAGTTTAGGAACCTACCTATTAGTGGCTTTTGCTTCTGTCACAGCTTGTAGATTATTCAGAGTCTTATATTTTTGTTCAATTCACTATAGTTCTTGCAAATCTTGCTAACTACTGGTACTCCTGAATCCTTGTTGAACAAATTCACACTAGAGAAGCACAGTATTTTGAGTAAGCTGGTATCCCCAGCCTTGGATCGATGACCTTCGTTAAGCTTTCTAATAAAGCCGGGTGAAAGCCTTTGATCTAAAAAAGCACAGTATTTTAACCAGCAGGATTTAGTTCAACATTGTATTAGATTTTAGGCTGGCAGAAAGGTTTGATATTTGAAACTCATGAATTTGTTTCCAGTTTTATGGCCCTCCGTTAATATGTTTATTTGGTTAGTCTATTATGTGGACACCAACAGTGTCATTTCTTTACCAAATTAACATTTCAAAATGAACTTCTTGAAGGGGAAATTTTAGAATTGAAATTTAGGGTCACTAATTTTATGATTTGGTTAGGTTATTTTGACTCATTGGCTGTTTCAAACTTTTTTCATTTCTCTTGGGGAATTCCTTGGTCAAATTACATCTAGAGAATTGAAAGAATCAGCTAAACTGAACATAGTATATCTTGATTGTTTGTTCCTCTGGGTGTAAAGAATTCATGTAGATGTAGCCTCTGAAAAAAAAAAACTCTCTAAACCCTGGTGTGCAATGAAGTATCTAGTCTTCTCTATGCCTGTAGATATTGTCTCTAAGATTTCTGAAAGAAGGTGTACCTTAATGTGGATCCACTGGAATGGATTGTAGCAGTATATAACCTGAAAGTAAGACACTGAAGGAGCTCAATGGCTAGAGCTAGCATAAATTTGTTCTAATTTTTTATATGCCAAGGTTCTGTCCTATACAAAGTGGTAGTGGTGACTGGTGGTGGCTAATGATGGAGGATGATAATTACGCACCTCTGGTAGTGTCTTATAAGTGTAAAAAATGCCTCAACTTCAAGGCCAACCTACCTTTCTCCTGGTATACAGGGAAGTACTAAATTTGTGATTAAACCTTTTAATATTTTTCTGTGCTTTATTTGTCACACAAGTAGATAACTACTGCTATCGATGGTGTCACTCACCTTGCAGTTTATTTTTTTCACGCAAGTAATAAGATTTTAGACATTTTCTGTTTTCCATATCAGCATGTTCTCTCTCTATAACAATAGTGTCAAACGCCTTGTATTCCCCATGCCAATGGTACCTGTGACTGGTTCTAACTTTACCTTTTATTGATTAATGTATCAGCTTGTAGCGATGAGGAGGATCACCCAACTGCCCGCTGAGAAGGGCCTTCAGGGGCCTGATAATTCATCAGATCAGGAAAACCAGAGAATTTGTGGGCATAATGAATTGCAGTCAAATAGTTTCGGTCAGCATTGTATATATGATTTCCTATTAATCCTTATGCGGCCCATAGATGTCGCTGATAAGACTGTCTCTAGTAGATGACCTATATAGACACCCAAATCCAAAATAGGTAGTAGGAGGTCTAAAATCAGCCTCCAACAGAGTATCTATACGGGAGACTCATTTTGGGTTGCCTGAGAGATATAACCCAAATATGAGTATCCTCTCTCCTGCAACCTATTTGTAGAAATGATTCTCTTTTGGGTTCTGATGTTGGAGAAGGTGTTGAATGGGTATCGAACATTTTGACTATAGCGCTACACAAACGTTAAATGAGTCTTGTATTTCAGGTGTTGTTGTTGGAGATAGTGTAAACTGAAAGGCCATAGATGTCGCTGAGAAACGGAAAAGGACCCTTAATTTTTTGTTGGAAATCCGTTGTGTAGGCATTTTCGGGCGTGTAATCAGTTCGTATCTGTATTTTGTGTTCAGGATAATCTGTGCCATTGCTGTTTCTCACCGACACATTGGCGTTTGGTCCACAGGTGATGCTGGCACCGCATGAATGCTGAATCTCCTGCTCCCTCGGTTTACAAATACTTTAGGCAGGGTTTGAGTTAACTTTTAAAACTTTGATAACAAATAACTTTAAGCTCCGTTTGGATCCTTAGAATTGAATTTATTTTAATAATCATAATTTAGACATATATTAATTAAGCTAATATGGTTGTATATGGATTATATTTGTATATTAGTATTGGTTATATGAGAGATACTTATGTGTTGTATTTTTACCGTAGGGGGGCAAGTTGAAAAGCGTGTTATAAGTTGTAAAATAAAAGTATAGAATGGTGATCTATAAAATTAATTTTTATCTCGCAACCTATAAATTTAAGATAGACTTATACGTGAACTTTGAAAAGTGGTGGAATGTCAAATTTTAAGGTAAATAACCTAGTTTATTAAATAGATTTTAATTCTTCTAAATGAAAAGATCCAAACGGCCCTTAAGGTATTTAATTTAGTACCTTGAAGATCATTTGCATAGATTTTTGTTGAAAAGTGTTTCATGTAAGCATAAAATTTGTTAGGATGTTCATTTATATTCTAATAGAAATAGTGATCAAAACTATATTTTAGATACCATGTCATTGTCCATAACCGCAAGTATTTGCAAACTTGAGGGAGTAATTTGAGCGAGGGCGTTTTTACATTTGTCTTGATCTTGTTTCATCTCATAGTTATCTAAGTTTAAATCTGTTTAGCTGCGGTTTCTTGCCTTTCTAAAATCTGTTTACCTGCGATTTCGCGTTTCATTGGTTTGTGCCAGGAGCCGAGGGAATATTTATATATTTATCATTATTACGATATGAGTGGTATAAAAAATACCATGTCAGTGACTCATATGTCAGTGATACGGTGTAAGATACCATCCGGTGGTAAAAATGTAAATGCCCCGAGCCGAGGAAGTCTGAAGTGTCTCTGGCTCTCCGCTGTTCGCTCCGTTCCGCTCGAGCCGCCCCCAAACCGCACGTCCGCTTTCCGCAGCCGGCTCCTCCCGCCCTCCGTGTACACGACGACGTCGTGCCCGCAGAATTCCATGCGTGCGCGGGACAGTCTCGCCAATCGCCATCACTGAGCACGCAGTGTCGATCTGCGCCGGCATACGTCCGTCGTGCGCGATGGACGCCTTCTTCAGCGGCCTCGACTCCCGGCTGCGGGTGGCGGTGAAGGTGGCGGACTCCATCATGGTGGGGCTGGTGAACGCCGCCATGGAGGACGCCTACAAGAAGAGCCTCTGGAAGGACGGCGACCTGGAGCGCCTCTTCCAGAAGCTCCGCTTCGCCGAGCTCGCCATCATGCAGCTCGAGTGGTGCCTCCGCTTCGTGCGGGGGGAGATGGAGGCCGACGGCGGTGCCGACGACGGCCACGAGCAGCTGCTAGACGACCTCCTCGAGACGCGGGACCAGATCCAGGCCCGCCTCGACGAGGCCGAACTCGCCGTCGCCCAGGCGGACTGCGACTACATGCGCCGGAAGCGCGATGACCTCGACCCGTCGCGCCGCTGCCGGGAGACGCCGTCCGCAGTCGATCGCCGCGGTGCCGAGGTGGAGGTCGGTGCGTTCGCGGAGCTCCGGGGGTCGGTGGGCCGGAAGATGACGAGGATGAGGGCCAGGCTGGAGGACGCGAGCTCCGAGCTGGCGGCGCTCATGCAGAAGGTCAGCGGCGAGGCGTCGCCGATGGCGAGGCTGCAGGACCCCGGCCACGAGGGCGACGGTGTCAAGGGCGTCTCGGGATTCTACAGCATGGCGCAGCTGCTTATGGAGTTCCAGGAGATGGTCCTGGACGCCGGCGTCGTCAGAGACAGCGTCGCATCTGCGTTCGATGCCATGGAGAGGTCGGTCTCTGCGCAGCGGGAAGCCATGGAGGAGCAGCGGTGGCTCATGGATGCAGAGAAGGAGATGTACCGTGCCGTCGTTGAGGATTTTCTCCGGGAGATCAACGTGGAATCAACTAAATGCGATCGTTCTGAGGGAGAAGGATGTCCGACACCTACACTGCATCATAGCAGAGGTGCTAATGAGAATAGTTCTGACGAATTCCAATCTCTGAAGGATGAAACTAGCCAGCTGCACTCAGCAAGGCTTATCCCGGCAGAGAAGTCAGAGAGCAGCAGACTATATTATAATTCAGAAGAGCATCGTATCTCCCAAGAGGAAGCTGAAAGGCTAACAGAAAGAACGATTGATTCAGAAATCAGATGTGAACTGCAGCATGTGTTATACTCAGCAGTATTCAGAGACCTATTAAGGAAGCTTTCGGTTCAGGCATATGATGCACAAGAGCTTACAGAACAAAGAGATGAAATGGAAATCAGAAGTAATCTACAGTATGAGATACATAGTATCATGTTCCAAGACTTGGTGAAGAACCTAGGTGTTGAATCCGTTGATCATCTTATCAAGACCTCCATCGAAGATGAGGTGCATACAGCTCTTCTTGCCAAGACTATGAATGCTTGGAAGATCACTACTGAAATGGTTCAGAGTGAGAGACTTATCAAGGAAGAGATGGACTGCATTATTTTTGGAGGTTTCATAAATGATTTGGTAAATGGTCAAAATTTAAGTGTGGTCAAATCTCAACACCAAAATAGACCAAGTGATAATCTGGGAAGATTTGGTATGATTGACTACACCGAGCAGTTAGAGAAGGGAAATATACAAGTCAATGTAACTACTGAAGATGAAGGTGTAGGCTCTGATCAACATCGAGTACTTGTGGATCAAGAAGTTTTAGGTATAATTGATAATTGTGACAGGCAAAATCCAAGAGGAAGTGATAAGAAAGCTGAAGCATCAACAGGCAGAGATAATGCTTATGATTCAGGTAATTGCAATTTAGAGGAAGGATTGGATGATCGCAGGAAGCGGCAAACAGAAGAGATAGCTATAGGTTTGTGCATGCCTTCTGAAGGAGTGAATCAAGAAATGTGCATTCCATTGACAAACATATATGAAATATTCATGGACTTTGAGACTATTGCGTGTGGAAAAATAGGAAGAGCTGTGCTGAGGTTTGTAAGTCTTCATCCTATACTTCCTTATGAACGCAATAGGAAGTTGAAACAGAAATTGATTTAGTAGTTCGGATTCGGATACAAACATGCAGTTCAGAAAGGTGTGAGAGAGGTGGCACTATTTAACTAACCTATGATCAATGGATCATTGCACAGATTGAGAGACTTGGACAAACAATTGTCAAACCTGATTGAACAAGTGAACTCTGTTAAAACAAGTGAGCTTATTTACCGGAGGGCTTTCACTAGGAGATGTTGCGACCTCCAAACAGCAGAAGCTGAGGTTAGAAACCATGATTATTTCTCTGTATGCTATCCATAAAGTCATACTGTGTCTTCAGAAAAAAGGGCTTTGCTACTGCCTCATGCATGGCCAAAAGCACTGAAATTAATATAAAGACAAAAGGAGCTAACCTTTTTATTGCCATGAACCATAGGTGGATCTTCTTGGCGATGAAGTGGAGCTGCTTCTTGGACTTCTCAGTAAGACATACCGAGCTCTGGAGCATTACTCACCAGTTCTTCAACACTATGTGGGGGTAATTTTCTAATTTCACCGAGTTAAAAGGCTTTGGTAAGTTTAACATGTGCAGTGTTAATGTGTTATGTCATCTTGGAACAAAATTTGTTAAAAGCTAATGCAGCTACAGAATCCAACATTTTATGTTCCCCACGTGTCATCTTGATAACTGAGCTTTAACGAGCATACATTTCTACAAAACCTCTCGGCATTTTCAATTCATTTCTTTCTTAATTTGTTGGCGTGGAGTGATGCAGAATTAGCCATACGTTTGCCTTTCCAGATCAGGGAGATGATGAACCTGCTTGGGAAGGAGCTTGCTGTGAGGCTGAGTCATTAGGTTCGGTAACACTCCTGCCCTGAAAAAAAAATTTAGCACAGTGTCCAATTAAATCATTTTAGATTTAATTAAATTTATAAAACAAATTATCAATATTTATAATACCAAATAAGTTGTATTAGGTTGACATTAAATATATTTTCCTAGTATAACTATTTGGTATCCTAATCGTTGGTATTTTTCTCTATGAATTTGGTCAAAAAAAATTATTAAAGACAGTTAAAAACTTTTTTTTTAGGATGGAGGGACTACATGATATAGGATACTATGCAGTTAGGACCTACTCCCTCTTTATCAAAATAATTACACTTTTAGGATTCAAAATTTGTCCTATAGTAAGAGTGAGTATCTTTTCAGCTTGTGAACCACCTGTCGATGTGGGACCTACAGGATACCCTGCAAGAGAGATAAAAGATCTAGTTCAACTAGGATTCTTCCCATGTAATCTTAAATAGTAGAACTATTAAGTAATCCTACTAGGAAATCTCATTATAAACCGACTAGGACTCTGGCCTCCTGATAATATAAAGGAGGGCAGGGCTCCTGAAAGAGAGAACAACAATGGTACAACGTAACACTTCATAATCAATCCAACGCAAAAGGCAAACGCCGACTCGACGTAGGGTCGTTACTCGATCTACGATCGAGGGCCTGAACCAGAATAAATCGACTGTCTCTTGCGTTCACCATCGAGTTCAGCATACGCCGAAACCCGAACAATACTGCCACGGTACCCCTGTGGCAGGCTATCGGTGGTAAAACATCGACAGCTGGCGCGCCAGGTAGGGGCTTTCGGCGACTTTGCATCCGAGACCTCGATGGACCTCAATAACATGATCTTCCCGACGGGATCGATTTTCATCTTCGGCTCATGGATCTGCGAGGCGGACAACTACGGCAAGCTTCAAAGGCATCTCCTCAAAGATCCGGATCATCATGAAGAATCCCCTATTTCGACAACTACGACGGATCAGCTCACCAGAAGATTCGCGCAGCCCATAATACCCGATTCGAATAAGATTCCACGGCTACACGCATCCGACTCGAATTCAAGCTCCGTATCCGAGATGAAGTCTTATTCGAGTGCTTTCAAGAAATCGAGTTCCTTTTTGGCAAGATTCCAGAGCACAACCCAAAACAACTCGGATTATCCTCAGAATTCTTTCAAAAGGCCGAGTTCTTTTCCATTTGGGCTCGACAACACGACAAAATCCTATCAGGGACAGTTTGAAAGGTTTTTCAAACCAACACTTAGGATACCACTGATAGGAGCTCAAGAGGGTCTCGTACTAACGATAACATCGCAAGACTGTATCATCCACTGGCCAGGATCCGTTCCTGAGGATAGCGGAACCCAACTAGTCGGCACAACAACAACAGCTATTCTACCTTACCAAGAAGGAGACTCGATCTACGACGCCGAGGCGCCCTCATCGAATTCATCAAGAACTCCGACAAAGATGAAAACTAACACCAATAACGGAACGGCTCACGCACGGGAAGTGCTCATGGTTCGACGCCTCGGTCACCATTAAAACCCCGAAGCACCCGATGTCGAGGTCATCGGATGAATCGAGTCCAACATATCACCCTTTGCCTGTGGCTACGATGGAGAAACCGAGAGTCGAGACAAAGCTAGAGAAAGGAAAAACAAGTTGAAGCAAGGCGCAACACCGCGCTCGACAGAGAGAAGCTGGACCAGATCTGAGTCGAATTGGTGAATACGACAAAAGAAAATCACAACAAGAGGTCGAAAGAGAGACGCACGGTGAGTACGCCTTACGATAAGATTCGAGAAGCATTAGAAGAACTCGTGGCAACTTCACATCACGGAGAGAAGTACGAACAGCTCCAGGACTTGCTCCGGTCAATGATCCCAAGAACGCATGAAGAGAGAGCCCGATCAAAACTACCCGCCGGATCAACAACCCGCAGCAAGAAGATCAAAATCAAAGGAAGTCCGTTTTGAAAGACTTGGACCAAAGCGGAAGCCATAACGGAGAAAGTAGGAGGAGGAACATAGTCGGGGCCACCAATTTGAACAACCAAGGAAGACCGGGAGTAGAGTGCCTACCCAGACGACCTCGCAGAATTATTCCCATCAAAACAACACTTGGCCGTAAGAAGGAGCCGAATCCGAATTCAAGGAAGCCGAACGCGATGATGATTCCCCCTGTTTTGCAAACAAAGTTGGCATCGAAGACGATTACCTCACAAATTCAAACCGTCTAACCACTCCAAGTATGATGGCAAAACCGAACCAAGACAATGGCTCGTAATATATTCACAATCAATTGAACTAGCCGGAGGAGACGATGATATCAAAACCTTGTTCTTTCCCATGGCATCGGAAGCGATGCCCTCCAATGGTTCGATAAATTGAACCCAGGATCGATCGTAACTTGGGAAGACTTGCAAAGAGCTTTCTGTAAAAATTTCATGGTATCATCACACACCCGATCACTCATGCCGAATCGAAAGGACTCAAGCAAAAGGGGCGAAAGTCTCGAAATTACTATCGGCGATTCGGTGAATCATGGGCTCAAGTGCATGACATCACCGAACGAGAAGTAATTGAAGCTTTCTCTCACGGAATCATGGCTAGGTGGCAATTTTAAGACTTCTGCAAAGAAAATCCGAGAAACAATGAAGAGTTTAGACGAACAGTAGAAAAAATGATTACTGCAGAAGAAAAAACACGAGAAAGGTTCTCGGATAAAAGCAACCAAGACAACCCGGATAGGCAAAATCATCGAAATAGCAGACATCAAGAAAGAAAGCGTAGACCAGACAATACCGTGGCAATGGCCGACAAATCAAAGAAGTTTTCCAAACCCAGAAGATATGATGACATTGAAAACATACGTTGCCCATTACACCCTAACGGAGACACACCATCGGAAAGCGCTACACTTTCAATGATCGATACACAAGAAAAGATAGTAAGGAGAACACCAAAGAGGACAATCACAAGAAAGATGAAGACAACCACGAGGACAAAGGATTTCAAAACCTGTGGAACGGTAGCGGTGATCTTCTCAGGGGGCCCCAGATTGCACAAGCAAACGCGTCAAGAAAAACTAGCACTACGGACTATCATGATGGCAGAACCGGCTACACCAAGATATCTCAATTGGTCACAATATCCAATCCAATTTTCAAGAGAAGACCAATGGACTAGCGAGGGGAACGCAGCCATTACCCACTAGTCTTAGACCCAACTATTGCGGTGTGATGATCTGTCACCAAAGTACTAATCGACGGGAGCTGGACTCAACATCATCTTTTCGAAACACTAAGGAAGATGGGACTACAACTCATTTGGGATGATTACACCAACAAGCACTCCTTTTTACGGAATAGTACCCGCAAAGCAGCCATGCCACTCGGACAAGTTACTTTACTCGTCACTTTTGGAACTCCTTGAACTATCGAACGAGTTTATCAAATTTGAGGTCGCAGACTTTGATTCATCATATCATGCGATCCTCGGACGCCCAAAGATTGGCAAAATTCATGGCAATACCACATTATCCGTACTTATTGCTTAAGATGCCGGGACCCAACGGTATCCTTTCTCTTGAAGCGATTTGAAGCGTGCTTTTTGATCATGACGTTCAGCAATCCAAATTGCGCCAAAGCACAAGCCGACAATGGAAGAAAAGAAATAGCCACAATTGTCTGCGGAGATAAGCCAAGAAGAATTAGAAATACTTGGCTAAAAAGCCTAGCATCATCACACCACCAAAAGAAGCCGACGTCAAGCAAATAGATTTGGGCATGGCGATACCTCCAAGACAAAGCAACCATCGGTGCTCACCTCTCGGCAAAATAGAACTCGCGCCACCAACTTTCTTGGGACAACAAAGATATCTTCGCTTGGAAGCCGCCGACATGCCGTGTGTCCCAAGAGAGTTGGTCGAGTACGTAATTGATGTTAATGAAAACTCCAAGCCTATAAAGCAACGGCTACGACGATTCTCACCCGACAAAAAGGCGCGATTAAAAAAGAAATCACAAAGCTGATGGCAGCCGGATTCATCAGAGAAATCCTTCATCCGAACTGGCTAGCAAACCCGGTCCTTGTGCAGAAGAAGAACACAGACGAGTGGTGAATGTGCGTCGACTACACGGATCTCAACAAACATTGCCCAAAAGATCCATTCGGGCTACCACGCATTGACTAGATAGTCGACTCAACAGCGGGGTCTGCACTATTATCCTTTCTCGATTGCTATATTGAGGTATCACCAGATCGCATTAAAAGAACAAGACCGAGCAAGACTTCTTTTATTACTTCGTTCGGTGCTTCATCGTTACAAGACCATGTCGTTTGGACTAAAGAACGCCGGTGCCACATACCAAAGAGCTATCCAAACTTACCTTGGAGATCAAATCGGTGAAAATGTGGAGGCATACGTGGATGATGTAGTGGTGAAAACAAAGAACCTAGACACTATGATTGAAGATTTAAAGCAAACATTCGAAAACTTGAAGAGATGGAGATGGAAATTGAACCCAAATAAATGTGTATTCGGAGTTCCTTCAGGGCAACTACTCGGATTTTTGGTCGGTCGGTAGCATGGATTGAAGCGGCAGACCAAGCAAATTCGAGCTATAACAGAAATGGGGCAACCTAGAAGTATCAAAGATGTACAGAAACTAACAGGATGCATGGCGGCCCTCAATCGTTTCATATCAAGACTCGGCGAAAAGGGGTTACCCTTCTTTAAACTACTAAAGAAGACAGACAAGTTTGAATGGACAAAGGAGGTTGACGAAGCTTTCAAGAAACTTAAGGCATATCTCACATCCTCACCAATTCTCACACCCCCAAGGAAAGCGAAGACATGATGCTATACATTGCGGCGACTACTATCAGAGTCAAAGACGACAATAGTCGAGAAAGAGAAGAAGAAGGACGTGTATAAAGTACAACGACCCATGTACTACATCATCAAGTATTATCTCGAATCAAAAATCCGGTACCCGCATGTACA